CCTGGAAAACCCAATGAGTCACTATGAGTCAGAACCAACTTGATGGCATTGAGTTTGGTTTTTTTGGTTTCCCTTATCCTTAGGCATTCGTCAACAGTGTGACTCAAGATAGCAGGTAACTTGGAGAGTTTAGGTCAAAAAAGACCAAAGAAAAAGGTTGATGACTAAGCCTATCTTAACCAGGAAAAGATAATGCCCTCTTTGGCCCATCAATACTCATGTTGTTCCAGGATAATGTAGGGTCAGAACTGATCCCCAGATGATAAACTTTGAATCTGTACTAGATGATGTTACAAAGTTACAAGTGAAGATTCAGCTACTTAATAAGGGGAAAAAGGATAGGGTTTAGGACAAGGATTTTGGTTCATTTTATTGCATAAGCAGGGCTTCTCTTAGGTCATAGGGCTTCTTTCAGCAAATTAGAAAAATGTCTCCCTAGGAGGTTGCAGCCCACCACACACACACACACACACACACACACAGTTTAGGTAGCCAAGAGTAATCTGAACTTAAGCGTCTTCTTGCCCCCTTAGGAGCTCTGGTGGTGCAGTGCTTAAGGTTTTTGGCTACTAACCAAAAGGTTGGTGACTCAAACCCACCAGCCACTCCACAAAGAAAGAAGAGACACTCTGCTTCCATAAAGATTTACAGTCTTGGAAACCTTTTGAGGCAGCTCTATGAGTCAGAATTGACCCAGTGGCAGTGGGTTTGGTGGTTCTTTTTTAGGGTTTAGGTATGACCTAAGGAGTCCTGGTGGGTCAAATTAAATGCTTGCCTACTAACCGAAAGGTTGGCAGTTAGAACCTGCTATGGCTCTGCCGAAGACCTGGGTATCTGTTACCTATAAGGCAGTTCTATTTGGTCACATGGGGTTGCTGTGAGTATAAATCAGTTTGATGGCACCTGACAACAGGTGTGGTTTAACTAATGGTTAAACATTCTAGTGGTCCTCTACTAGAGAAGGAGCATATCTCTACTATTGGAGAGGACTAACCTGCAAAATAGAGAACAATGGAAAGTATTTGTATAGTAAATTCTAATTTTGAGCTAGGGAAATTTCTTAAGCCTGGGAGGAAGAATAACTAAAAATTTAAGTGATCAAATGTCCTGTATAGTTTAAAAAAAAAAAAAAAATCCTAAGTTTTGACTTTCTGATCCTCTAGACCAGGGGTCAGCAAATATAGTCCATAAGTCAAATCAGGCCCCCTGCCTGTTTTGGTACATCCCACAAGCTAAGAATGGTTTTTACATTTTAATTGGTTGGGGGAAAAAAAAAAAATCAAAAGATAAATATTTTGTGACACATGAAATTCAAATTTCAGAGTCCACTAATAAAAGTTTTACTGGCTCATAGCACGCTCATTCACTTACATATTGTCTACGGCTGCTTTTAACTACAACAGCAAAGTCCAGTAGATGCAACAGAGACTATATGGCCTGTAAAGCCTAAAATATTTGCTATCTAACCCTTTACAGAAAAAGTTTGCAACCACTGCTCCAGACAAGTGCTGTCAATAGAACTTTTTGCAATTACGTAAATGTTCTATATCTGTGCTTCCAATACAGAAAGCATTAGGCCCACGTGGCTATTTGAATACTAGAAATGTGGTTAATATGATAGAACTGAATTCTGACTTTCATTTTAGCTAATTTAAATAACCACATGTAGCTAGTGGCTACCATATTTGACAGCAGACTCTTCTCAAATTGCTCTCTCACACCCCTCCTTTAACAAGCTACTCTATGATTACCAGCCCTGTTTTCCTGACTCCAAGCTAGGGTATGACATCTATTAGGTTTCCTTTGTGGGTTCTCCATTGTCACAAGTAAAATCTAAAATGTAATTAGTTTACCAAGTTTCATCCCATGAATTAAGCAACATTATTTGCACACACATAAACAGACTGACACACAAGTTTCTTTTTGTCAGAGCATGGCACTATGGCTGTTTTTTCTTCTCTACATGAGAGGAGAGATGTGGAAAAGCCCTCCACATGCTGAATCCCTTGTTGCTGCTGGAGCCTGTGATATGGATCACCTCCCTCCAAACACATTCACAGAAGCTGAGAACAGCAGATGTGCACTTGTCATTTGAATCTCCAGGAAAAAATAAATTCCTTCAGCACTGAACTTTCTTCCCTCCCTCCAGGCCTAGTAAACTGAAGTTCACTGATTTCTCTAGTTTAATAGATGCTTGATTTTTACTGTCATTTTTAGTTGGGCAAAGAAACAACCCCCACACTGTCTCAATCTTGACTAGGAGCTCTAGCAAAGGCATAAAAGAATTACTAAATGAAATGAAATTCATATAGATGGGCTTTCATAGAGTTGATAGTTAAATAAATGCAAAGAGAGTCAGTTAAAACTCATAAAAGCCGTAACTTTGTAATGTCTTTAAAGTCTGATTTTTTCACACTTACTCTCTAGGGAAAAATGGCTTTCTGTAAATTTTCAGATTAAAAAGAGGGAGACACCTAGTTCTCTTTCTCCACATTAGCTACAGCAAGCAAGAAAAACCTTTCCTCCATTTCAGACATTGGGCTCCAAAGCCAAAGCCTCCTAAACCTTTATAGAGAAAGTGTCCATTCGCATATATATTCTAACTTATATAATGAGATTAGGTTCTGCCTGGTAAAGCAAAAACAAACAATTGAAACCCTTAGGTACTGTACAAATGGACAGCAATTGAACTCAACCATCTAACAGGGGGTGTAGACATTTAGGCTGCAACAGAAAACCACTTCAGAAATGTGAAAGTTCCCTCAGGCCAAGCTGTCCCGGAGTTACACAGGGTCAGAGCAAAGTGTTGTAAAGCACTGAAAAGCTATTCCTAGGTAAATTTGCACTCAAGCTGCTAAGAATTTCCACTAAGCTTTAAATTATGCTATTCATCACGGAGCAACTGAGGGCCATCTAGCCCCAAGTTTCTCCCACACTTCCTCCCAGGTGTCTCCACAAATAGACCTTCTACCACCACCACATGAACTAAAGACAGGCTTTCACAGTCTAACCATGAAAAGGAGAAGTTTCCAAGTTACTCTGCCATTTACCCATGTGGCTCCGGTCCGGTTGCATATTTTGGATACTGAGGTGGGTTCTTGTAAACTTAGTTTTCATCACAGCACACAAAATGGTTGCATAATCTGATCTCTTGCAGCTCCTGATGCTTTTCTTAGGCATGCAAACAATCTACCCAGGTGGAAAAATCAATCCAGACTCCTCTGTGTTCAGGCCGTCATTCAAATAAAAACTTAAATTTTTTTTTTTTTTTTTTTTGCCTCCCTAGGCTCTTTCTCTCTTGTCTTTTGGTTTTATTTTGGTCCTAAAATCAATCAATAAATAAAAGCCCATGGCCACAGAGTTGATTCCAACTCATCGTCACCTCATGTGACAGAATAGAACAACCCCTAGGGTTTCCTGGACCGTAATTTTTATGGGGGCAAACTGCCACATCTTTCTCCCACAGAGTGGCTGGGTAGGTTTGAACTGCAAACTTTTCCATTAGCAACGGAACTCTTAACCACTGCACCATAGGGCTCCTTTTGGTATTAAGAGGACCAGGCAATTCCAGTACAGAATTCAGGGTGCTGTTGCTTGGGAAACTATTAACTGCTTAGTGAAACAGTGTGACTTCATTAATAGTACTAGGGTCTGCAGGAGGCCATAGAGAGACTCCCCTGCACCCCTCCCCAAGTGCCATTATCTGTCCTTTCCACTTTTTCCACAAAGATTGAAGGGGGGGGACTACTGCATGTTTGCATCACCAGAACAAGAAGAGGGTGGGTTTTCCCTGGGAATCCAGAGTGATCAGGCCCTGCAGAACCAATGCCTAGAGCTATGCAACAAGCAGGTTCACAGCTGAGTGAACATCAATGCATAATGAGTGGAGGCATTTCAATGCAAATAAACGCTGAATATGAAGGATTAAAGAAAGGGGAAATTAATCTTTTTCATAACACAGGGCACTTTCTTTCCTCGCTCTCTTTTTAAAGTCATGCATACAACTGCTGGAGGGAATCCAACTTCCCCAGTGTGATGGTGCTGCTTTATAGAAAGCAGAACATACACATTTAAGGCCATGAATTTCCTCAAGGTGCCAGCAACTGAGATTCTGACAGCTCTTCAGAACAGCCTCAGAAAAAAAGTGCTTCACTAAGTGGGGCCAGACTGACTACTAAAAATCTCATTCAAACCAACCTCCTGTTTTTCCAAAGCTTCTTGGGTATGGATGGTTTAAAGTGTTTGGTTTCAGGGTTTGAGAGTATTTAGATGCATTTTATTTTTCAGTTTGTTTCTAATTGCCCTTTCCAAGTGATCCTTTTACATTAGCAACAAAATAAATAGCAGGGTTTGTGCTGCTTTAGTAGATGACTCCAACTCCCAGCTCAATCCTCTCATGTCCTAACTTCTCAAACAGAAGAACAAAGCAGCAATGCTCCTTCAGGTTTATTCCTCAAAAAAAAAAAAAAAAAAAATTGCCAATGAAGGTTACTCAACTTTTGAAGATTGTTCACTTCAGAGAAGTTGGACTGGAGCAGGAAACTTGTTGATAATCTTTTTATCCTATCATAGGTTTGTATTAAACATAGGATTCTTAAAGCTTCACTTTGAAAAGAAATTTTAAAAATCCAAGTGGTCTTCAGAAAAATCATTAACCTAGTTTAAGAATTTTACCAACTACAAATTCAAGTCTCAGAGGGGAAATTTCCAACTTGTTCTTTTCTTTTCTCCAATACATTCTGAGAAAACTGTCAAAGACTTAGAATTTTTTAAATTGGTTTTTATAAATAATGTATTCAAAGATTCTGACCTACAACAGAAAGTAAGAATCCTATTCTTTAAGAAAAATATACAGATTTTGATTAAGAGTTTAAATTCTGAGAGATTCAAGCCTGATGCCAAGCATTCCAATTTCTACTGCTTCAACTCCAAAAGACCAATGGATAGCAATTTAGTACACAAAACTCCACCAAGCTGTATAGGTCCTTTTTTCCCCCAGGTCAGACAGCTTTATTCTGCTTCATTAACCCCTTCTTTGCTCCTTGATGGATCTTGGAATCCAGCTTCCCTGTAAGGGAGAAAAAGAAGTCTCATTATTTATTTTTTATATTTGCAATGCAGATCTTCTGTGGCCTCCCAGGTCTTCTGGTTACTGTGTTTCTGTCACATTCAATTATCTTTTTTTAGGACTCTGACACTTTCACAGTTCAGAATTTCATTCTGTAGGAATGAGGAGGCAGGGGGAACACTGTATAGGGGAACACACACACACACAAAGTATTTGCCCAAGAATATAAGAAGTTAACTTTTCTCATTTTGTAGCTACTAAAAAAGAGATACTACATTTTTCAGGGTGTATTGATGGTAAGGCAAAAATTTCAAACCAAATTTATTACACACATATATTTTACACAGTGGGAAACCCATTCCTCTGACCTGTTAACTCACTGAGCATAATGATGAACATCCCTCACAGTGAAAAAAACAGTTCAACTCACCCCTTTGCTGCATCAGACTTAATAGGGGGAGTGACCTGAAACAGTGGAGTAGAATCCACATGAATGCTCTACTAACAAAGGGTTGCTATCACCAACTAAGAAGGGCAAAGGTCACAGGCTGTATGACTCTTCTAAGTGTTAAACTTAGAAAACAAGCAAACTTCCTGTCCCAGGTGACCCTAATGAGAGGTTCTTTACTGGTGTGGTCTCTGACCTCTGACTCCTCTGATTTACCAGGATAGTTTGGTTCAGTAGTAGCAACCTTAGGAGCCATTCATCTCATGAAGTGAATCTTAAAGAGTTCTATCTGTCCAGCCTGAGAACAGACCTTGCAGTTTGCTGAGTCCTACAAAAAGTCTCATCTAAGTCAATAGACATGTTGACACTGGAAACAGAAAAGTAGTTTAGCTCAGCCTCAGTACAAAAAAAAAAAAAAAAAATCAACAAAACAAAAATAAAATAAAATGAGCTTCCCTTGAAGAACAGCGAGGTATACCAAGTACAGGTCCATACTCAACGATCCCTACCCCTCAGTTACGGTCGTTTTTATTTGCTGTAGCAGTCAGTTGTAACAGAGTACTGAACTAGAAATCAGGAGATTCAGGTTGCAGTCCACATTTCTCAGGTGTTAACTAGCTCTATGTCCTCAGCAAGTTATTCAATCTCTCTCTCTCTCTCTGGAATTCAATATTCTCATTTGACCAACTAAGATAAGAATACAAGTCCTGACCACTGCACCAGGATATTGTGAGAAAAATAACAACTGTGAAAGTGCTTTGAAAAGTATATGTACATACAATATTCAATCTCCTTAGCCTAACAAGTTTCCCTGTATTCTTACGTTTTTTTTTTTTACTTTTTTTCCATCTCTCTAGGACTCCCCCTGCTTCTGGTATAATAACATTACTTCCTTTACTGGGCTTCCCAAGAAACCATCACTAAGTGATATTTTGAATGATGTCCCCAACAGTCACAATGCTGTTGATTTTAACTGAAGCTTCAGAACACAGGGTATTCCCAGGGACTCAGGAGTTCTTTTATCCCAAGGCCTGCCTAGCTGAAAATGAAGACGTGTGCCAGCAGTCTGGCAAAAGGCTCTATTAACAAAATCAAGTTTGCCTCTATATCTCTAAGACCTACCATGTTGCTGTTGTTGTTATGTGCCCTCAAGTCAGACCCGACTCATAGCAACCCCTCCTTGGGTTTCCGAGGCAGTATCACTACAGAAATAGATTGCCCCATCTTCCTTCCGAGGAGTGGCTGGTGGGTTTGAACTGCCAGCCTTCTGATTAGCAGTCAAGTGCCTTAGGCACTACGGTACCAGAGCTCCCAAGACCTACCATGGTGGCTGCCAAATTGTAGATGCTCAATAAATATTTTCATCAAATGAATTAAACAAAGAAGAGAGATACTATAAATTTCAAAACCTTTTACATCATAGGAACTATTAATAAACGCAAAATAGTAAGTATTACAAATACAAGAGTATCCATTGTGAAGCTGGTGATATTCAGCATTAGAAAGAAATACTGCATCTCATTCTGTTTACAGAAAAACCTAGGACAGAATTTAGAATTCCATGCAGGACTCTAGACTTTTAATTCTCTGTATTGATTAAGTTGGAAAACCTCAGTCCCAGTTTTAGTCCTCAGATTGTTGTTGTTGTTATGTGCCATCGAGTAAGACCCGACTCCTAGCGACCCCTCCTTGGGTTTCCGAGGCAGTATCACTATGGAAGTAGATTGCCCCATCTTCCTTCCACAGAGTGGCTGGTGGGTTTGAACCGCCAGCCTCTGGTTAGCAGTCAAGCGCCTTAGGCGCTATGCTACCAGAGCTCCTAGTCCTTAGACTACCTAGCTGTAAAACCTTGAGGAAATCACCTAATCACTTTCGTCCTCAACTTTCTCAATTCTAAGAGGAAGCAAAACTACACAGTCATAAAGGCCTCTTACAGTTCTGTGATACTGGGCCCTGAAAATTAAAAGGACTACTTTGTATCCCTAATACCTACCACAGTGACTTCTAATAGTGGCAACTCTTGGGCCAGCTGTGCTCAATGAAGGCAAGGGAAGAAGAGGAATATGACTGGGGCTGCTGTTTGAAGAGGCAGTCATCCTGGCTGTTCCTGGATTGTACAAACCCTGAACTCTGATTCTAATTCAGCCTGGTGTTTTAAGACTTGGGATCTGGGCAGAAAACTACAGAAACATATACTCTCTTAGATTTTTGTATTTCCCCAATACTTTTATACTTAGTACCTACAATAGCTCAGTGTTCAACCACATCCTCAATCATGTGCCTAAAAGAAAATCAAATGCATGTGCAGTAGATGGGTGAGAAGTTAAAAAAAAAAAAAAAA